TTTCCCTACTAACAATTAAGGCCTTTAAAAAATTACCTTTTTGAGCAAGGGACCCTGTAGCAACAGTAGAAGAGCTTGTGGATTGGCTTATCATCTTTTGAAGAAGTTCAAGCTGCTCTTTGCTAAAGAGAATCGGTTCTAAGGTGCTGTTCTCACTGGCTAAAGATGCAATGTTGCCACGGCTTTCAATTGTTGAACGTGAGGGTTTCCAATCAGTAGGTTTCTCGTGAATCTTCCAACAAGTATCCCTTGTATGGCCTGTCTTCCAGCAATGTTCACACTAGGGTCTGCCTCCTCTTCTCACCTTGTTTTCTGTGTTGTTCAGTTGTGGTCCACGTACAGCAAGGGCTGATCCTTCAGTGGCTGCGGCTGTGGGCTGATTGTTTACTGTTCCCAGCACCACTTTCTTCCGGCTTTCTTCCCTCCTTACCTCCGAGAAGGCTTCTCTTAGACTTGGCAGTGGCTTTGTACCCAAAATTCTCCCACGGACTTCATCTAAATCTTTGTTAAGTCCCATTAGAAACTTAAACACTCGTTTCTTTTCAATAATCTGCCTATACCGATTTCCATAACTCGGACTCTCCTAAGTATACTCTTCAAACAAGTCTAACTGTTGCCAATAACGAGTAAGAGTATTATAGTATTGGGTAACAGAGGTTTCACCTTGTCGGAGATCATGGAGAATGGTTTCCACAGCAAATAGTTCAGAGGTGTTTTCTTTGCTGGAGTAGGTATCTTTGGCAGCATCCCAAATTTCTTTGGCAGTACTATAGAGAAGAAAATTTTCTCCAATATCTTTGATCATAGAGTTAATCAGCCAAGACATCACCATGCTGTCCTCAGCCCTCCAAGACCGGTATTTGGGGTCTTTTTCTCCTGGTGAAGTTGACAGGCCTGTGAGGTGGTCATCATTTCCTTTCCCACGAACAAACATGAGAACGGATTGTGACCACTGCAAATAGTTATGCCCGTTCAGCTTGTGGCTTGTGATTGGCAAAACTCCACTGCTGTCCGAGCCTCCATTGATCCCTGCCACTGGGGTTTCCTGACTGGAGGTAATTTTTGAAGTGGAGCTTCCACGGTTTGCTGCCATGCCATATTTGGCCATTGAATATTGGACTAAAGGAAGAAGGAATGAAAAGAAAATGAACTACTGGACAGAGTCAGAAACCAGGCTCTGATATCATAAAGAAATGAATGAAAAATTATAATACTTTTCATTGATTTGGAATGGTAAAAAGCTGCACTTATATACAAGAGATCAGGGAAAATAAAGGCTAATTTCTAGTCTAACGTAATCAGGAAATATCATGATATATTTCCTGATTTCCTAAATCAACTAAATAAGGAAAGATGATAGCTAGAGGCCTCTACAGCCTGTCAAATCTACAGCCTGTTACAGCTGTGAATGGGCTGAATAATCCGGATTTTTAACATATATTTCGGTCAAATATTGTGCTCGTAAAAAATTGAAGCTAAAAGGATTTGCTTTTGTTATCTTGTTGGATGCCTCGTGAACTCTACTATGTGAATGTTATTTGCTTCCACATATCACAAGCATTAGAGACACTATGGCCTTCTTATCTTGATGCATTTATGCTTGATATTTGATATTCAGAACAAATAAAGACGTTGCTTGAAAGGCAAGAGAGATTATATGAGAGACAATCTGAACTAAAGGCCCTGCTGGAAGCATCAAAAGGGTCTTTGCACCAGGTTAAAGAGGGTACTTCAACTACCGTGGAAAATTGGTCTGGGCCTTTTGCATGGGATTCTGAAGCTGATGATATTAGGTTCAATGTTTTTGGAATATCTACATATCGTGCCAATCAGCGAGAGGTAACTACCTTGTAGACATTTTTGTCTAGTTTCATTAGTCGGTCTTTAGCTTTTCTGTGTATCTGTACGGTTCCTTTAGCTCATATCAAGATACGGTATTGTACATAGACAACTTCTTATGAGGGGGGGAAAACATTGGGCAACTTCTCTAGGATTCAATTTTTCTTTTCCCCCCCTTGAACTTAATTTGAGTTTCTTCAGTGAGATGGTTTTGTTATGGTATACGATTCCAATTTCCAACCGATAAGATTCTTTTCCAAGTTTTCCATTTTTCAGTGATATAGTATTGTCAAAGTTTCGTTTTAAGTGTCTATGCATGCGATGGGGTTTCATTGGACTGTTTTAGTTTTGATAGGAGATTTTGGCCTTTGGATTCCTTTTGAGCTTTTCCTTGTAAGTTCTTCATTTCCTTCTGCTTGATTAAAAATCCTAATCATTCCACTTTTGTGCCATTCAATTTCATTTGGAAAAGGCGTGTTCCGTCTAAAGTTAAGTTCTTCTCTTGGTCATTTGCCTTTTGGAGGTTTAGTGCCTGTGATGTATGGTAAGGAAGCAAAACTTATCATTGTCTCTCATTGCATTGATGTGTAATGTCTGATTGGAATAGCGAGAACTGGAACGTTATTATTTGTGGAAAAAAATGAGGAAAAAATATTTTATTAATTCTAATAATTTACACAAGCCACTAAAGGGCTATATATATACACGAGTTAGATAAACTCATTGGAGAAAAGAACTTATCCCTAATTCTATTGTTAGCCCGTCACCTAGAATCTAGAAAATAGATAATCACATGATCCCTAGCCCTAGCCGGTCATAATCCTTAGGAGATAATGCTTGCTTCTAGAAGATAATGTTAAAGATAATGCGGCTATTTCCCACACTTCCCCTTCAAGCTGGTGAATAGGTGTCTCTCATTCCCAGCTTGGTTGTAATTTCTTGGAAGGTAGTACTATTAAGCCCTTTGGTGAAGATATTAGCTAGTTGATCTCCTGTAGGAACATATGGTGTGCAGATCAATCCACTATCTAGCTTTTCCTTGATGAAGTGTCGGTCCACCTCGACGTGTTTTGTTTGGTCGTGTTGCACTGGATTATGTGCAATGCTGATTGCTGATTTATTATCGCAGTAGAGTCTCATCGGCCCACTCCATTTAATCTTCAAGTCCTCCAATATGATCTTCAGCCATAACAATTCGCAGACTCCCTGTGCCATTGCCCTAAACTCAGCTTCTACACTTGATCGAGCTACAACATTTTGTTTTTTACTTCTCCATGTCACTAAGTTGCCTCTAAGAAATGTACAATATCCGGAGATAGACCTTCGATCCATGGGAGATCCGGCATAATCTGCATCCGTGTAAGCCTCAAGGACAAGTTCGGAGTTCCTCTTGAACATTATTCCCTTTCCTGGGTTAGCCTTTAGGTAATGAAGCACTCGGTAGGATGCTTGTAGATGGACCTCCTGGGGATTATGCATGAATTGGCTAATGATGCTTACGGAATATGTTATGTCTGGCCGGGTGTGTGCAAGATAAATGAGTTTCCCAACTAGTCTTTGGTACATTTCTCTGTCTACTGTTTGATCACCTGTGGCTTCTCCAAGTTTATGGTTCGCCTCTATAGGAGTTGCGGCTGGTTTACTAGCGAGAATTCTTGTTTCTCTGAGAAGATCCATGACATATTTCTGCTCTGAAATGAAGATGCCTTGTCTTGAATGTGCCACCTCAATCCCAAGAAAGTATTTCAACCTTCCCAATTCCTTAATCTCGAACTCTTTGATCAGGCGTTGCTTCAAGGCTTGTTTCTCCCCTGCATCGTTTCCTGTTACAATAATGTCGTCCACATAGACTATCAAGACTGTGACTCCCCCTGAATCCGAGTGTTTGATGAAAGAGGGTGTGGTCTCCCTGACTTTGCTTATATCCGGTGGCTAGCATCACTTTGGTGAATCTTCCAAACCAAGCACGGGGTGACTGTTTTAAACCGTACAATGCTTTCTTTAACTTGCATACTTTTTCTTTTTCAACTCCAACGAACCCAGGGGGAATGGTCATATAAATTTCCCCTTCCAAGTCCCCGTGAAGGAATGCGTTCTTCACATCATACTGTTGTAGGTCCCAGTTATAATTGGTTGTCAATGACAATAAGATCCTTATTGTGTTCATTTTTGTGACTGGCGCGAAAGTCTCTTGATAATCCACCCTATATGTCTGATTGTACCCTTTGGCAACTAGTCTTGCTTTGTAGCGCTCTAATGACCCATATGCCTTGAATTTTAGAGAAAATACCCATTTGCACCCACTGCTTTCTTTCCCCTCAGAAAGTCCGCTATCTCCCATGTTCTGTTTTTTTTCTAGAGCATCCATTTCCACTCCCATTGCTTTTCGCCATTCTTCCTTAGATAGCGCCTCAGACAAAGTGTTTGGAATAGCAATTTCATTTAGACTCGTAAGAAAGCTTTTATGTGATGGTGAAAACCTCGCAAATGATAAAAAATGAGATAGTGGGTATAATGGCCTCCTGGTACATTCGCGGATTCCTTTTCTTATAGCTATAGGCAATTCTTGGTTAAGTGTTTGAAGGTCAGGAGGTGAAGGTGGGTGTTCTACCAGTAAAGGCAAAGTAGGTTCAGAAACTGTTACCTCATTCTCAAGAGTCGGGTTGGAGATTTGGACTTGTGTAGATTCAAAGGCTGGGCCCCGTTTCCTTGAGTACGTCTTTCCTTGAGGGTGCTGCGGATTCCACAGGTTTAGGCGTGGGAGGATGGGATGATGAAGAAGAGGATGGTAGATCAAGAAGGAAAGAATCCTTATCTTCTATAATAGAAGGCTCCCTCTGAAGATAAGGTTGAGCAAAATATGGTTTTTCTTCTGCAAATGTGACATCGGCCGAGACAAAGAGCTTTTTGGTGGGTGGATGATAGCCTTTGTACCCTTTTTGTGTGGAAGAGTATCCTACAAAGACACATTTGACAACTCTAGGATCCAATTTTCCCCGATTGTTGCTGTGGACGTGACCAAATGAAGTGCACCCAAAAATTCTAGGTGTAAGGTTGTTGGTTGTATTGATGTCAGGATAGAATTTAGAAAGAGCTTCCATTGGACTTTTTGACCCTAAAACCCTTGAAGGAATTTGGTTTATGATATAGGTAGCGGTAAGAACAGCTTCCCCCTAATAGTGTTTTGGTATGTTATGATGAAACAAGAGTGCCCCGGTAGTGTTTAGGAGGTGACCATTTTTTCTTTCTGCAACCCCGTTTTGTTGTGGAGTTTTTACGCAAGATGACTCATGGATTCCTTCTTTTTGGAAAAAAAGGAGACAAGAACTGATTAAAGTAGTCTTTTGTGTTGTCAGACCTAAATCTCTTTATAATAGTACCAAACTGATTTTGAATCATCAAGTGGAAATTGGGAAAGATGTTACTCACATCGGATTTATTTTTCAGCAAAAGATCTAGGTAACTCTAGTACAATCATCGATAAAGGACACAAATCAACGTGAACCGGAGATATTTGGAGTAGTGGAAGGGCCCCAGATATCACTGTGGATTAGATAGAAAGGAGAAGAACATCTTTTATTACTAATAGGAAAGGAAACACGAGTGTGTTTTGCATACTCACAAATGTCACAATGAAATCCCCTAATTTCAAATCCCCTAAATAAAGAAGGAAACATAATTTTTAAAACTGCAAAAGGATGGCCAAGGTGGTGGTGGTGCAACCAAATGAGATCCCTTTTGGAGGAAGAAAAAAATGAGGATGTTAGGCTCTTCCTGATCATATGTGAAAAATTCGACGTCTCAAGGTGATAGAGTCCATCCTTTTCCTCAGCACGTCCAATCTTCTTCCCCGAACCCTGATCCTGAAACTCACAATAAGAAGGGTAAAACGTAACATGCCAATGTAAGTCTTTTGTAAGCTTTCGAATAGACACAAGGTTGGTTGACAGTTTTGGGACATGTAAAACATTTTTGAGGATAAGACTAGGTGCGATATGGACATCCCCTACCCCGGCTACTGTGGTTGTGGTTCCATCGGCAATCGTAATTTTTCTATTACTTGGACACGGGGTGTGAGTTTTTAATTGGTTTGAGGCATGTGTCATATGATCTGTAGCTCTCGAGTTTAAAATCCATGAATTCACAAACAATTTATCTGAAGCATTTAGTCCACAAGAGAATGAGTGCTTACCTGAGAGTGCCAAAGAGCAAGTGTTGGAGGATGGTTTCTCAAGGGTTCCCAGCAAGTTCCTCAATTTTTCTATCTCTTCATTATTCAACCCGCTATGGTCTTGAGTTTGAGCTTGATCTTGACTTACTTGGGAGGTCTTATATGCTTGGCCTTGTTGTCGTTGCTGTTGTCCTCCTTTATTTCCCCATTCATGGCTAGTTGTTGAAGGTTTTCCATGTAATTTCCAGCAGCCCTCTCTTGTATGTCGTGGCTTTTTACAGTGGGTACACCAGAGATCTTCTCGATTTGCTCCCTTTTTATCCTCCGTTTTTTCAGGTTCAGCTTTTGGTGGTTGTTCCAAGATGAGACCCCGTTGTTTGTTACTAGAGGTTGTGAGTGCAGATCCATCAACTGCTTCAGGTTCAAGCATCACTCCTCTGCGGCTTTCCTCAGCCCGGATTAAAGCTATTGCCTCTTCCAAGGATGGGATTTCCAACTTCCCTAGGATTTGGATTCGTATAAGATCAAATTCCGGGTTTAAACCTGTAAGAAAGTCATAAACTCGATGTCTTTCTATGAATCTTTTCACTGCCCCTGCACAGTCACTGCACTCCAGGTTAATTACCTTGTAATAATCTAGTTCTTGCCACTGGTTTTGCAAAAAATTAGCGTATTATGTTACAGTTTTACTTCCCTGTTTGGCTGCCGCTGTTTTGATCTTAATCTCGTAAATCAAAGCCGCATCACGGACCTTAGAGTAGGTTCTATGTGCAGCATCCCAAATCGCCTTTGCGGTTGGCAGAAACATGAATGTGTCGCTGATTTCAGGTGTCATGGAATTCCACAACCAAGACATGATCATGGAATCCTCTTCACCCCAGGCTTCAAATCCAGCATCTTCTTCCTTCGGTCCAGTCCCAAGTAAGTGACTAATTTTCCTTTTCCCTTTAGAAAAGTCCGAACCAAGTGGGACCACTTCAGGTAGTTTCTGCCATTGAGTCTATAGGCTGTCTGTATATTTTGGAAATCGCCTGAAGAACGCTGAATCTGTTCTTCCTTATGCTGTTGGGTTGCTTGAACCAAGGGAGTTGAAGAGGTTGTTTCTGACATCTCTGAATTTATTCGGATGTGGGATCACAAGAAAGAGGGTAATCCGCAAAACAAGAAACAAAAAAGAGGGTAATCCGCAAAGAAAAGGCAAATTCAGGAAAAAAATTGCGGAAGAAAAAAAACTGTAATGGGAAAAAAAAAGTAATTGCGATGAAGGCAATTTGGAGAAATTCGGCTATGAAGGCCGAGGAAAAAAAAATCAGAGAAATTCGGCTATGAAGGCCGAGGAAAAGAAGGCTTTATTTCTAGAAAAAAAAAAAGAAGCCCTATGGCTCTGATACCATGTGGGAAAAAAATGAGGAAAAAATATTTTATTAATTCCAATAAGTTACACAAGCCACTAAAGGGCTATATATATACACAAGTTAGATAAACTCATTGGAGAAAAGAACTTATCCCTAATTCTATTGTTAGCCGGTCACCTAGAATCTAGGAAATAGATAATCACATGATCCCTAGTCCTAGCCGGTCATAATCCTTAGGAGATAATGCTTGCTTCTAGAAGATAATGTTAAAGATAATGCGGTTATTTCCCACATTATTATTATTATTATTATTATTATTATTATTATTATTATTATTTTTAATTGTCGGGTGGCTCTCAAATATGGTGGAGGCTTTTGTGAAAATGAGGGTGATCTTTGGATCACTCAAAATACTGTATGTTTGCTAGCAAGTGTTTTTGCTATTTTAGAGGGAATTTTTTGATTTTTTGTGGGGTTGTGTGTTGGCTCTGTTTTGGGTCCTTCGGTTTGACAGGAACGAGAATTTCTTTGTAGATGCTCCCCAGGATGGTGAAGCTTTGTGGGATGAAGTCAGATACAAAGGTTCCTATGAGCTTCTACTTGTTAAGATTTTAGATATTTTCTTTTACTCCTTGTTAATCTAAGTTGGAAGGACATCGTTTGAGGAGTGTTTGTAAGGGCCTTTTGTTGCTTCTGTTCTGTAGTTGAGAGTTTTTATTATTATATTTCTTCGTAAAACTATTTCATTTGATTCAACTGGCAAAGGCCTTGAATTTTTGGAGTTTCTCACATTTATCTTCTTTCTTTTCTTTTTCATCTGGGAAGAATATTGCATGAGAGGTTAAACCTTTTAATCCATTATTCTCATCTGTACGTGTAGATTTACTGACATTGTTGTCAATTGATATCAGATCATCAATGCGATCATGAGTGGAAGAGATGTTATGGTTATTATGGCTGCAGGTGGTGGCAAGAGCCTCTGTTATCAGCTTCCAGCACTTCTTCGTAATGGAATTGCACTTGTTGTCAGTCCTTTACTTTCTTTAATACAGGATCAGGTGCTGTTTGTCTTGGTCTTTTCTTTTAAACAACGTAATATATTATAACCTCATTTTAAAAAATCTGAAGCAGTTTCCTTGACAATAACTGTGGTTTCAGGTGATGGGTTTGGCTGCTTTAGGCATTTCAGCAAATATGTTGACATCAACTACTAGTAAGGATGAGGAGAAGTTCATTTACAAGGCTCTTGAAAAGGGGGACGGAGATTTGAAAATATTGTACGTGACACCAGAGAAGATATCAAAGAGCAAGAGATTTATGTCAAAGCTTGAAAAGTGTCATCATGCCGGTCGTCTCTCTCTGATTTCGATTGATGTAAGTTCGGCTTCCTATAAGTAGTTCTGAAAGTTTTATGAATGGACTTCGGTAATCTTTTATTAAATCACTTAAGACTTAAATAGTCATACATACATAGGAAAGGAAATACTAAACCGCAAATCTAGGAACTAACATAACAAAAAAAAAAAAAATAAAGTACCTAGCCGAGAATCCCTTATTCTATGGCTAACCATCTAACTAACTTGATATTTCTAACACTCCCCCTCAAGTTGGTGCATAGATGTCAATCATGCCTAACTTGTTTACAAATGAGTCAAACATTGGTCTAAACAATCCCTTAGTTAGGATGTCTGCAAGTTGCTCTGTTGTTGGTACAAATGGGGTACAAATGAGTCCGGCCTCTAGCTTTTCTTTTATGAAATGCCTATCCACCTCAACATGCTTTGTTCTGTCATGTTGGACTGGATTGTGGGCTATGCTAATAGCTGCCTTATTATCACAATACAATCGTATTGGTAGTAGGACTTGTTGCTTTAACTCCTGAAGTACACGTTGAACCCATAATACTTCACACACACCATTGGCCATTGATCTAAACTCTGCTTCAGCAATGCTCCTTGCAACTACGTTTTGCTTTTTACTTCTCCAAGTAACGAGGTTGCCCCACACAAAGGTGCAGTATCCCGATGTTGATTTCATGTCTGTAACCGAACCAGCCCAATCCGCATTAGAAAAAACTTCAACTCTTCTGTCTTCCCCCTTTTTAAAGAACAACCCCTTCCCTGGACAACTCTTTAAGTACCTCAATACTCTATAAGCTGCCTCTAGATGTTCTTCACATGGTGAATGCATAAACAGGCTGATCATACTTACTACAAATGCAATGTCTGGACGAGTGTGCGACAAATAAATTAACTTTCCTACCAATCTTTGATATTGGGAAGTGTTTACCGGTACCCCTTGCTTTGCTTCTCCCAACTTTTTGTTTGGGTCTATTGGTGTGTCTGTTGGTTTACAGCCACTCATACCCGTTCCCTTTAGAAGGTCTAGGATGTATTTTTGTCGTGAAACAATGATGCCCTTTCTAGATCTTGCAATCTCCATACCTAGGAAATACTTCAGTTCTCCAAGGTCCTTGATTTCAAACTCCTTGGAAAGCCCCCCCCTTTTAAGTCTTTCCATCTCCACTAAATCATCTCTGGTGAGAATGATATCACCTACATACACAATCAGCACCGCTACCTTCCCTGCCTCAGAGAACCTGAAAAACATAGTGTGATCGGACTGAGATTGAACATAACCTTGACCTTTTATAGATCGTGTGAACCTATCAAACCATGCTCTTGGAGATTGCTTGAGTCCGTACAAAGATTTTTTTAACCTGCACACTTTTGACCCAAACTTGTCCTCAAATCCGGGGGGTGGTTCCATGAAGACTTCTTCTAAATCTCCATTAAGGAAGGCATTCTTCACGTCTAGTTGCTGCAATGGCCAATCCCGGTTCACTGCAATAGATAACAAAATCCGAACAATATTAAGTTTAGCCACGGGTGCAAAAGTCTCCATGTAATCCACACCATATGTTTGTGTGAATCCTTTGGCAACTAATCTAGCTTTGTATCTTTCAAGTGTTCCATTAGCTCGGTATTTGGTGGTGAAAACCCATTTGCAGCCCACTATTGATTTTCCCTTTGGCAACTCCTCTACTCTCCATGTCTTATTTTTCTCAAGAGCACTCATCTCCTTTAGAACCGCCTTCTTCCACTCTGGACTTTTTAAAGCATCCTGTATATTGTTAGGAATCTCCACAGAAGAAACATTAGTGGTGAAAGCAAAAAAACGAGGGGAAAGCCTTTTATAAGACACGAAGTTGGACATGGGATATTTGGTGCATGAGCGTTTTTCTTTTTGGATGGCTATTGGAATATCTAACTCACCAGACAACTCTGATTTTTGAATAGAGGACTCGACTTCAGGATTTTCTAGTTCTGAGTTAGATTCTTGGCAAGGCTGAGAGGCTTTGGTACCTGTCTTCCGATGAGGGAACTTTCTCTCATAAATATGTCCAAATACTTTCCCTGTTTGACTTCTATTTCCGTTGGTAGTTATTTGTTGAGATACTATGGGTGCAATACCTCTTTCCGAATTTTGAATTTCAATTGAAGAATCCTTTTGTTTTTGAATTTCAGATTCCTTGTTTTTCCCGTTTTCGGTTTCAACAGATTCTTCCTCCATGTTCGAATTCAAGTCCACAGAATTTGAGTTGTTTTCAAAATCCCTGATTAGTTCTGGATCCGAATTTGAAAAAATCTTGGGACTTGAATCCGAATTGTGGTGTTGGTTTTTAAAAATTTGTTGGTTTTCAGGAGAAGCAGTGATTTGTTCAATCCTGAGAAAATCCAGGGAATCAGGAATCTGTTCAAACCTGCAAGAATCCATGGTTGGTGAATCCAAGTGGTTGAGACTTTTAAAAAACGAATCTTCATGCCTATTCTCCCCCTGAAGATGAGCTGCAAAATATGGTTTGTTTTCAAAAAACAAAACGTCCATAGTGATGTATATTTTCTTTGAAACAGGGTCAAAACATTTAAAGCCTTTTTGATTTGTTGCAACACCAACAAACACGCGTTTGGTTGCTCGAGGATCAAGTTTTCCTCAGGTTTTATCTTGACTGTGAATAAACACAGTACAACCAAATACACGTAAAGGTAATGAAGAGAATATTCATGATGTTGGAAACGTTTTTTGAAAAAGGCTGAGTGGAGTTTGAAACTTTAAAACTTTTGATGGCAGACGATTAATCAAATAAATTGATGTTAAAACCGCTTCTCCCCAAAGATATTTTGGAACATTATTGGTAAATAACAGGGCCCGTGCAACTTCCAAAATATGTCTATTTTTTCTTTCAGCAACTCCATTCTGTTGTGGAGTATTGTTGCACGAACTCTGTTGAACAATTCTTTTTTCAGCAAAAAACTGTCCCAAAATATGTTTGAAGTATTCTCTGCCATTATCACTTCTAAACACTTGGATGTTAGTTTGAAATTGAGTTTGAACCATATGATAGAAATTTTTGAAAATTGATTCTACCTCAGATTTTTCCTTTAGTAAATAAACCCAGCTCAGTCTTGTATGATCATCAATTAAAGTAACAAACCATCTTTTTCCAAAACATGTTGAAACTCGATATGGACCCCATATATCACTATGTATTAATGAAAATGGTTTTGAAGGCTTGTATGATCGTGGAGAATAGGATGCTATATGATGTTTTGCCAATGCACAGATTTCACATTGAAAATCAGAAGGATTCTTATTCTTGAATAGATTCGGAAATAAATGTTGCAAATAATAAAAACTAGGACGACCTAATCTAAAGTGCCACAAATATATCTCATTGTTACTAGAAACGGAAATAGACTTCAAACAGGTTCCTTGGACTGTTTTATTTGATTGAGATCCTTCGTCTAGAAGATAGAGACCTTCACACTCTCTAGCATTGCCAATCATCTTCCCCGAGACCATTTCCTGAATTCACAATGAGATGGGAAAAAATTAACATGACATTTTAAGTCATGAGTTAATTTGCTAATTGACACAAGATTACAGGTTAGATTAGGGACATGCAGCACGTTGGAAAGAATAAACAATGGTGAAATTTTGACAGTTCCTATTCCTTCTATGGCTGAAAAAGAGCCATCTGCAATTTTTACTTTCCTATTTCCTGCACATGATTTATAGGATGAGAAAATACTTGAACAACCTGTCATGTGGTCAGTTGCCCCAGAATCAATAATCCAAGAACAATTGGATTTGACACATGAGAAAGAAAGAACATGACTATTACCGGTTTGAGCAAAGGAACAAGACGGACTACCTGAAAATTGTGGAGATTGAAACAATTTAACAAGATGTTCTAATTGTTCCTTCGTGAATGGAGATGATCCTGAGTTAACTTGTGGTTCTTGAGAATTCTCAGCCACGGTCTAAAGAGCCCTTTCGGGTCACTTCTTTCCTCCTGGTGGCTTACCGTGGATCTTCCAGCATGTCTCACGGGTGTGCCAGAATTTTTTGCAGTAATCACACCAAGGCTTCTTTCTTCTGTCTTGATCTCCTTCTGTTGATCGTGCAGCCAGTGCATATCCTTCTTGTTTAGATCTGTCCTGTAGTCCAAAATTCCCAAGCATGATCTTCCTTCTGCCTTCTTCCATCCTAACTTCTGGAAAAACCTCACAGATGGACGGTAGTGGCCTTCGCCTGAGAATTCTCCCCTTGACTTCATCAAGACTCTTATTCACACCTGCGAGGAACATGTAAACACGATCACTTTCCTCTCTCTTCTTGAATCTCGCACAATCCTGGCTATTTTCCCATTGATCATCATGACACTAATCCAGTTCTTGCCATAATGTCACCATTTCATTATAGAAGTCTGTCACGTCTCGATCTCCTTGCTTTGCTTGCCAAAGTTTCGTTTTTATCTCGAAAATTTGAGATGAATTTTTGAGATCAGAATATGTCTCCCGGATTGAATCCCACACCTCCTTGGCTGTCGGTAGGAACATATGAGGCTTGACAATTGCTGGTTCCATCAAGTTGAGAAGCCACGCAGTCACCAATGAGTTCTCCGATCTCCATGTCTTGAAGTGTGGATCTGTCTCCCCTGGGTTTTTTTCTTCTCCAGTCAGATGTCCCAATTTCCCTCGACCATCAATGACGAGCTTGACCGATTGTGCCCATTCCAAGTAATTTTTTCCGTTTAGTTTGTGAACGGAAATTTGCAAGGACATGGCTGCTCCTAGTTGGTCAGCACTGCTGCTTGTCGTAGTCATATAAACTGTCCCCAAAGTTTTTGCTGTGACCGTCGACCATGTTGGTTTTCCAGTACCAGTTTTCTCCATCACGGTATTTTTGTGTTTCTATAGAGCTGAGGCTCTAATACCATGAAAGTTTTATGAATGGACTTCGGTAATCTTTTGTTAAATCACTTAAGACTTAAATAGTCATACATACATAGGAAAGGAAATGCTAAACCGCAAATCTAGGAACTAACATAACAAAAAAAACATAAATAAAGGACCTAGCCGAGAATCCCTTATTCTATGGCTAACCATCTAACTAACTTGATATTTCTAACAAGTTCAGATATGTAATATGATTTAAAACCATTTTCATCAATTTGAGAATCTCGTTGCTGTCAATTCTTGATTCTTTGGTATTCTGACATATTAAATAGTTTGAGCTATGCCTTGACCAGCATGTTTCATGTGGAGCCTAATGACTTATATTACAGTCTATAGTCAAAATAATCCTTCAGTTTCTCAGTTTCAATTGAAATACAAATACAACTATATACATGCATATGTGTGCGTGCACACTTTTGACTAAGGGTTTACCATTTTCCTTTGATATGTGGCCTTTCCGGAATCCTAATGTTTTAGTTGAGAGGAGAGCTTCTTTCCGGCATCTGTTGACAGAAATGATAGATGGGGATGGCGTGAAGAAAGCAAATCAAATGCATTTTTTGTTCTTTATTGTTTTTAGTAGCATTTCTGTTTCCTATTTTCTAAGAAACGAAAATAAAGGGAAGCAACTAGAATACATTGTCCGGCTTAGTGTTTAATGTCATGGATTACTTCGCAGGAGGCGCATTGCTGCAGCCAGTGGGGTCATGATTTTCGACCTGACTACAAAAACCTTGGTATCCTCAAGACCCAATTTCCCAAAGTTCCTGTGATTGCTCTGACTGTATGTCTTTTTTCTGCCTCTTTTATCTTTTTTATTGAAAAGGAGCCAAGATGCAGTATGCATTGGCTTCTTGTTATTATCCTGTTTTATTTGTTAAGTATGTGAGTTGCCTCATATTCCACAGGCAACTGCTACGCAGAAGGTACAGAACGATCTGATGGAGATGCTCCACATTTCAAGATGCGTCAAATTTGTCAGCACAGTCAACAGGCCAAATCTCTTTTATATGGTATATAGTTTTGTTTATTCACATCGGATTTTGATTCGCACCATGAGCTTGAATTCTGAGTTTCCAAACTGCAGGTACGAGAAAAATCTTCAGTTGGCAAGGTGGTTATTGATGAAATTGCTGAATTCATTCAAGAATTTTATCCAAATAACGAATCTGGGATAGTTTACTGCTTCTCTAGAAAGGAATGCGAACAGGTCAGTGTCTTTTGTGCAGTCTTTTCTTTCGTTGAAATATGTTATTTATTGTTATAATTATGCTTAAATATGGTTCCTAGATTGAGTTAAAAACAGTTTGACATTTGGAGGTGAAATTCAAAAGTCTTTGGGTTTTCATGTAGTTTCATGATCAGATTCTGGTTAGAAGGCATTGATAATGCTAGTTACTAGTTAGTCTTGTAAATATCAATAGGCTTGCTTTCTAGTCTACCCTTTTATCACTGATATGTGACACCTTAAATTTAATCCTGAAAATTCACATGAAGGCTCATCAGCCACTACTGTTAAACATGTAAGTCTGTTTTATAAGATAGATGGTAGAAATGACTTGCTAAATGTTAAAAATTGTAGAACTGATTTTGCATGCTGTCATCCTGTACTGAAGGGGTTATATTTGTAAAGTTACTTATAGCCTCATTCTATTGTTAAAAATTATAGGTTGCGAAAGAGCTGCGGGCAAGAGGAATTTCAGCTGAATACTATCATGCAGATATGGACGTGAACGATCGTGAGAAAGTTCATACCCGGTAAGGTCATGGTTCTGATCCTTAAGATATGATCTTTTCTGAATAATGAGAGCATCAAGTGATGATAATTCTTCCAATACTCTGCTGCAAACTTATAATTCTTTTGGTGGGAGAGTTACATTGAGATCCCAAATTCTTTCAGAGTGTCATATGATACAATAAAGACCCTTAGAAATGCGAAAGATTGTAAATAATTGGCTGGTATGCATTTTCTTTCATTCATATAATTTCTAACTGCGTGGTGTATGTTTTATGACGCAGGTGGAGCAAGAACAAATTGCAGGTCATTGTCGGCACGGTATGTCATGCAGTTGTCTTTTTTCTTTTCCAATTCTAAGTTTTGTCTTCGTTTGATAACCTGAAGTTTCATTTCAGGTGGCATTTGGCATGGGAATCAATAAACCAGATGGTTAGTAATTTAAAACTAGCTGTCTTATTTTTTCTATAGTGTAATTTCTGAGGACATCCTACTTTTCTGAGTATGATTGCAAATGCTATTTTAGGTCCACAATAAAAATAAAACTATACTGTGAAATCATGCACGGTGGATTCAAACCATAAATTTGGATTGTTTCCGGAAGATATGAACACAGTATTCGTTTGACTCTCCGGTTAATGAGGAAAGGGATATTAAAATCATAAGCATGTTTAAGTTCTTTTTTTTTTTTTTGTTGGGTGTGGGGGGGTGCTAGTGGTATGTCCCACAAATGGTCCTTGAGGTTTACCCTCAATCATATTTTGGTCCCTGACTTTGAAAACATGCCACGATTGGTCCCTGAGGTTTTACTATGTTTTAGTTTCGGTCCTTCCGTTAACTAGCTGTTACATGTTTGACTTAATCTGTGTAAATTACGGGCCAAAATTGGAAACAACTAAAATTTACGGTCTATATGTGGATATTAGCTTTTGTTTTTTGTATTGATGTTTCCAATTTTGTTCCCTAATTTTCAAAGATTTTGTTAAATATTTAACATCTAGCTAATAGAAGGACTAAAACTGAAACAGAGTAAAACCTCAGAAACCAACTGTGGGACATTTTCAAAGTCAAAGACCAAAGTGGGTTTGAGAGCAAACCTCGGGGACCATTTTTGGGATTAATCCTTTTTTTTTTTTTGGGTGTGGGTGCCTAGGGGGGAAGGTTTTGATTAATTTTTTCCCTCTTTTATTTGCCTTCGTACGGAACACTTGGAAAAAGAACTATAAAGGACAGCATATTATGCATATAAAGTCAAGTTAGATATTTTGATCTAGACTGTTAGGAAATTAGAATATTGAATATCTAATGGTGGGTGAGACCTTGTTGCATGGTTGTCTCAGGGAAAAGTTTTTTCTTTCTTCCAACATTGGGAGTTGGGAAGAGTATCCAACAGCTGCCTATTCCAATACAACAGCCGTGATATATATATATATATATATACATATTTTTGCTTTTTTTCTTTTGCTATCAAAAACTTTTAGAAACCAGATGTGTGTCTATGCATGCAAACACAGTCTTCGCATGTGAAGCTCTTTTTGTTTTTTTAACAAGAATCAATAAGCTTACACATACAATTTGTATTTTCTTTTCCTTCCCAATTCCCACCTCTTGTATAGCAATTTCTGCAATTTGAAATTTATAAGCATGGAAGTAATTTTTTTCTTGAGATTCAATGTAAGCAGTTGTTTATTGTCATTCCTTTTTATTCTTCTCTCTTGCAAAGCCCCTTTTGGGGATTTTAATTTTGTATATGTATGTTTAGCTATTTTCTGTTTCCTGTTGTACGATGTGTAGTAATTTTTATAATACATTGATTTAATACTCAGTAGCTGCTTGTAGTCAGGTTTGTCATCCATCACAGCTTGAGTAAATCAATGGAAACATACTACCAGGTTTTTCCACCTTTCAAGCTCGACTAAATTATTAGCAACTTTATTCATCCCATAACAAATTTTGCCTCAGGAAAGTGGTCGAGCTGGACGAGATGGTCTCCCTTCTCAGTGCCTACTTTACTTTCGGCCTGCTGACGTTCCTAGGCAGGTAAAGTTTTTTATGCAAAGAAGCAACGAGAGTACTCCAGACACTGTAGGAGTTTAAACTTTTCTAGAGAAAAATTTAAGGAAAATATGCGAGGAAGATTGAAACTGAAAAGTCTAGAAATTCATTTAATCGAATGACAATCTGAAAATTGTGGAAACTGCAGAAAAATGGACTGTTAGAACTTATACCCATCATAATCATTAGCTCCTCACAACACCACTGCCTGATTCATTTAATCGAATGATGCTAGCATTTCCCCCAAAAACTCGAAACTCTGGTAAGCCACGCTAAATAATGACTCCAGAAAAAATAAATGAAAAAAAAACACTATAATGACCGACCTCCTAACAACCAAACTGTATTTTGCATTTCCCACGATCCCACAGAGTTTAGTTAATTTGTTGCGTCAATTTTCTTTTAACATATAGTTTTATCGTAGAATTTCTTATACTATGTTTCTAACCTTTGAGCATTATTTGCAGAGTTCAATGGTTTTCTATGAAAATTCAGGACTGCAGAATCTTTATGACATTGTCCGGTATTGTCAGGTAATATGCATCTCACATTTTTCACCAGTGGCTTTTTACCTTTTTTTTGTTTGTTTTTTATTTGAGTGAAATTAAAATGATTACCGTTCTATTTCTTGTTTGTAAAAGATGTAAAAGTTTTCTTGAAATTGACTTATTTTTGTAGTTGCTGAACATGTGCTAGCTATAATTTCTTAAATTATATTTTAATTGAGTTTCTTTGCTGCGAAACCTCAAATTTGAGATATTTAGCATTGCTATAGGCAGAGAGAACGAATCTGTGGAAATTTGACTTTCCCTGCTGTCCTTTGTTGCTGTTGTTAACTTATAATCTAATATAAAATCTCATGTATAGTAGAATAATCTAATATAAAATCTCATGTATGGTAGAAGAATATAATTTTGATATAAATGTACTTTTGTTAGAAAATTGCATACTTGTATTTTTTATTTACCTTTTTTATGACTGTTAATATTCCATTCATGCTTTGATGTATCACCGTAATTCTGTCTCCTCTTTGCTGTCCTACGAGCTATTGTTTCTCAAGTTTTTGTCTTGGACTCGTAATTCATTTATACAAACTTGTGCCATGCATATGGTTAATCTTTATAAAAGAAGATACTTAACTTCAGTTCTCACTGGCCTCTCTTTCTTATTGCAGTCTAGAAGACAATGCCGTCGAAGTTCAATTTTCCGACATTTTGCTGAGCCACTACAGGACTGTAATGGTACCATATGTTATAACTTGTTGCTCTACATGTCCTATAAATATAGTGAACTGCTATCTTTTGGTAAACAAAATGTCAATTGAGGGGCTAGTATTCAAACATCACAATTCACGAGAAACTTTTCAAGGTGTCGGTAGAAATCTATTCTCTGGGCTTGCCTTGTTCTGCCCTATGATATAGTACTGGTGGTGAGAAATATTGTTGTAAATTGTATTTTGATTTTCGCAGATTTCTGAAGAGTTGACCTCCATGTTTGTACATTGTTTACATGCGTACCAGATTTCTCTATTGGTAATAATTGGTTATTCGAGAACTTAATTGCCATTTGTATTATCCCAGGGATGTGTGACAACTGTGCACTATCAAGTGAGGCTACAGAAATGGATGCCTCTTGTATGGTTCTTTTACCTTTTCTTAAAATATTTTATGAATTATTATATCAATCAGCTATTATCTACTTAGCAATCATTCTTTTTGTTCTCCTTGGCGTCTCCTTGTGTGTTTACTCCAGTTACTGCATTATTTTTTTCTATGACCGTAATTACTAAGATCACCAGTTATCTTTAGTCGTCATTATCATAAGTGTAAATATTCAAAGGAAACCTTGGTCATTGGTTTGAGCATCAAATTAACTGCATAAATGAGATGGATTAACTTGGTTGCCACTTCTTTGATCCTCACGATTTTGAGATCCCGAATTTCGACCGCCTTATTTCTTTATCCGCTTATAAAATAATAAGAAATAATTTATTTTTCAGTAATGTTTATCTTCTTGAATTACATGTATGTAAACTATCCAACTTTGGAGAAAATATGGACTAAATGTCCTTGAGTCTACAGTACTGGAATGCCCGGTTTCTTTGACTTTGTAGTACTAGTATTCGTAGTGCAAATGGAAACAATGTAAAGTCATGGGATGGAATCTTAATGATGGAACTCGTATGCTCCTCATATAAACGTCAGGGACTCATGGGTAACATATGAGTGGCATACTTCTGTGGCTTCTACTTTTGGATGGTGTTGTTTCCATTAGATTCTGTCCTGCAGATTAATTTCTTATATTGTGATGCATGCATGTGGTGATAAGATATGTAAATTTTCTCTTTGATTATTTTATTTCAAAGTTGGCTGTTTAGAGTATTCTTCATTAAATTTTTCGATTACAGATCTAGCATGATGATGTCGAGCTGTGTGTATGTGGGGATTCTTTTCAGGTTATGCAAAGCTTATAATTTCTTTGCTGCAAGATGTACAAGAGAATGATCAGAGATTGACAATGTTGCAGCTGGTCGATAAAATTAAATCTAAGCACAAGGAAGTAGGTGGGTCAATCATTTTCAGTATATCTACTATGGATGGCTAGATAAAAGCTGATGCAGGCGTTCAACATTGTCGTGCATTATTATTTTTCTTAGATGATGAAATGACTTTGCTTTTAGCAAATTTTATTGTTGAATATGGTTGATTAAACATTTGCACCACTCCATTTGTGTGTCTGTGCCCTTCTTAGAGCTGTTGCCTATTATTTTTTTCTCATATTACTCAATCTTGGTGGCCTGAATTTCTCAGGTCCCGACTTAAAGAGAGAAGAAATGGAACAACTTGTCATACAGCTTATCTTAGATCGTGTTTTGGTATGAGTTTTGACTCTTTACACCTTAAGTCTATTTAATAATAATAATAATAATAATAAAAAGAAAAGTTCTCATGTCCTGATAAGTTTTCCGAACTTTGATTGATGATGATTAGTAAAACAAATTTGCGAAATGCTTAGACGGTGTAATTTTTTTTCTGTGATTCATTAAATTTCGATATTTGAGTTGAAATTCACTTGTTTTGATAAGAACAATTAGTAGACTTGACACTGTATAGGAAGAACATAATCTATGAAACACAAAAATAGAAATGTAAGATTCATATACCTTCTATGATCTGACATGCCTCACTTTGAAATTTGGTAAAAATCGATGATTCTTTTTGTTATAAATGAGTCGTTTTTAGGAACATTATCAAAATTGAAAAGGAAAAAAAAGAGGGGGAATCGAATATAAAACATGAATAAAATCCTCATAATTGCAAGGCCCATGGAAAAACAGTTTTCTGAAGTCAATAGAGGCCATAAACTGTATAGCCCTTTTAGTTGATTCACTAGTGTAATTTTGTGGTTTATTTTCTTAGTCGACTTCTTTTCTTGAAGCTTTGCTAGGGCAACCATGTCCCAGGCTTTGTCTGTATCTGATACAGAACCATTTCTGTTCTTGATGTAGAAAGAAGAATTTCAGCATACAGCTTATGCCACAAATGCGTATGTTACGATAGGACCGCTGGCTAGGCAAGTATTGCAAGGTAAACGTCACCATTTCACTGTCAATTTCTCATATTGCTAAATATTATTCTGTTTTGGTGCAAACTCATGCTGCGATATCCATTTCACTGTTTCTATTATAGGACTTAAACATCCTTTGACCATACCAGGACGGGTCTCGTAAGAGATGTATGACTACCGTCCTGGTAAGGTATCAATTTCTATCAATTACCATGTTATTTTCACTCAGTATTTTACTAGCCTGAATCATAAACGTCAGAGTACTCTTCTGGAGTAATGCGGTTTGATTGCCTTAACTCCACTCTGGATAAAGAAATGTTGAAGTTTCGTAACACCGATCCTAGTTAACTTTATGAAGATATCTTTTTCAAACATATACATATAAGTATAGATATGTTATGCACGTCCATGCATGTATTCTTTTTAAAAAAAATATATATATAATAATAAGAAAAACACCTTTATTGATACGGATCAATTACAGGTACAAGAGGATAAGGTATCCTCAAGAATAAAAAAGTAAACAATACAAAAACAAAAAGCAATCTGATCAAAGAAACTTAAAAATCATCTCCCTATCAAAGTAAACAATAAAAAAAACAAAAAGCAATCTGATCAAAGAAACTTAAAAATCATCTCCCTATCACATCTTTCCAATTCAAAACAACCAAAGAAAATGGAAAACCCTTGAAAGCTTTGTCTGACGAAGCCCATAAAGAGGCTGAGTATTTGGCTTTCTTGGAAATATCAGCAATATCCAGCACCTTCTCCTCGAAAATTCTAGAATTCCTTTCCATCCATAAAGTCCACAGAAACAAAAAGTACCATACTTTTCCTAACACATTTGCCATCTTGTTGAAACCCAAACCCGACGAACTTTTCACCTTCGGCGAAGTACAATGAGCTGGAGTAACCTAGTAAAACCAGCTTCCAGTAATAATTTTTGCAAACTGATCTAGCTACAGTGCAATGAAGCAATAAGTGGTCTATGGTTTTTTCATTACCCCTGCAAAGGACACACCAGGATGGAGAAAGAACAATATCGGGGTTTTTCCTCTGCACCCTGTCACAGGTATTAAATTGACTTTAATTTTATAGGGGACACTGGATTTCCAACTGAGTTGAAACGGTTCAAATACTGAGTTATCATTTCTGTCAACTAATGAAGTCAAAAAGGAAGACACGAAAAACCATCAGGATCACACAACCACACCCAAAGATCAGGAGAGGGTGGTCTAAAAGATAGAATTTGTAGTAGAGAATGCAAATCCTCTACCTCTCAGTCATTGAGCCTTCTCCTAAAACCAAGATTCCAATTTGGATAATTATTGCTGGACAATGAAAAAATTTGTGAAATAAGAGCATTAGGAAGGTCAGTGATTCTGAACAGACCAGGGAACAAAGATTCCAAAGACTCGGTACTCACACCATTTATCTTCCAAAACAAGGTTCTAGTTCCATCCTCAACTCTCAATTTAACATTTTGAAGGAAGACATTCAGCCCCTGAGAGATAAATTTCCATGGATTCCTAAAAGAGCCTCTAGTCACTAAGTTTGAATCCCAACCGTTCGACTGCAGCCCATACTTATGATTTTAGCCTACAAAGAGTTCTGTTCCAAAGGAAATCTCCACAGCCACTTGCCTAGAAGAGTCAAGTTCTTCCAATACCCAAACCGCCCTTTCCTTGCTTTTTGTCACAATGTCCCAAGCCACCAAGCTTCTCAGCGTCTATAGTTGGTAGGATTGAATTTAAAAGGGGTAATTTAAATTCATCTTCCATAAGTCGCAAATATGTACGTTAATATATTATCTTCTTGCGATGCTTTTGACACTAATAGCTAGTCTCCAATTGAAGTTGTTGATCTTGCGGTTTTTCTTATAGGGAAGAGAAATGTCACGCTTGAGATTTGCAGCGGACAGAAGAAAGTAGCTCGTGGGAAATCAGTCAAACACAGTCTTGCATTCTCCGGTTTGGAATTAAAGCTTGACGAGTTGCGGAAGGAACTCTCTTCTATTCATGGAGGAATATTTCCCCATTCTATTTTGTCTACTCAACAAATCAACATGTTAAGTGCCCAGAAACCAAATTCAATGGAAGAGGCAAGTTTTACTACCCCAATCTCTTATTCTTTTTTTTTTTCGTTTTCGATTAAATTTTTTAGTCATCTCAGACTTCTACATGTGAATTTTCCACTTCTGTATGTGAAACAATTGATTTTTATTACTCTCTCTCTCAAGTATTCCAATGCGTGCAAAGTGGGAATTGATCGGTTTGCTGATCAATAAAAAATGTGTCTTCCCTGCAGTTGGAGAAGATCATTGGAAAACTGAAGACAGAGAAGTATGGTAGTAAAATTCTTGAACAAATAAGGAAATACGCAGATTTGAACGAGTTGAAAGAACAAGGGAGTGAAGAGAGAGCAACGAAGAGGTTAAAAACCAAAAAGGCTCTGGTTGTTATCGAGAGTAGTGATGAAGAATGAAGATTGAAGACGCTTAGTGGGATCCTTTCTGAGCTCTTTTCTTCTCTAACCCTTTTAGGTTCTCTTTTTGTTTTTTGACATTTTTTTGGTCCGAGTCATTGGATGATGGCCAAAAAAAAAAAAAAAAAATGAAGAGCCTTTGCGCATGTTGATATTCTGTCTTGTCTTTGTTCTAAAATTAGTTATTCGGGTCATCGGGTGGATGTTAATTAATTCGGTTAATAGTCTTCCGAATTTTGCCCTCATTATCAGTTTGGTTGCGTTATCCGTCAACCTTTAAATGGAAATTGGTCACATGAGGATTAGTTGATATACGTGCATAGTGTGGAGGCAATTTGAGGGTGGGTCTATAGAATATCATTTATATGGGGTTGGTATTAAATTTATTATTTTTGCATTAAAGTTTGGAAAACACCATTTTACGATAGAAGACAAAATATTTACTAGTAAAATCGCTCTCTTCTCCCTTCTCTCTAACTGTTGCCGACCATTATCATCTTATCACCAAACACAGCTGCTGACGGTTCTCTGTTTGTGCTGATCTCACGTTTAAAATCCCTAGTTGTTAGAGGAAATCTAATTATGATTAAAAATTTGAAGGACTCGCTTGTTTTATGTGTTTAAAATTACTGGTTTTGGTTCAAACAATATATTCTCTCTTAAAAAATTTGAATTTAAACGGTTCTGTTACAACGTTCTCTTATAAAATTTGAATTTTGATTCAAACAACTGTATTAAACCCATGTGCTAAACGGGCACTAAGAATGTGGCTTAAGTTTCAGTCTCAAGGGGAGACATTGTGCCACATTGAACCAAGCAGATGTTTAGCTATGAGTCAGAGATCTAATAGTCGCTTTAAGCAATTTGCTTATAGGCATGTGGACATGATGGCTCGAGAAAGGTCCTATATATGGGTTGAAGGAAGTTAGTGCCTCGGAGTAGGATTGAGGCGTTGACGGAGACATATAGGACGAGAAAATATGTCATTTAGACAGTCATTTGCATGATCGCTTGAAATGATCTTTTAAGCTATTTCTTTCTCTTTTTTTCTTTTTTTTTTATAAGCGTAATATATACTTGTACAAAAGAAAAAGAAAAAAAGAACTTTTTTGTTTTGGCCACGTGGTAATTCCATTTGCAAACTGAAGGAAATGGCCAAAATTTTATAGCTTGCAAGTTATGAACATACATGTTACTTTTTAATATTCAAACGATGTGAAATGAGTGAAGTCTAGAAAGAAAATATTAAATATATACTTGTTTAATGTGATCTTGAGATACTTTTTGTTGTGCAAATGTAAATAAAAAGTTCATCAATTTAGCCTAAGCTATCGCATTGAGTTTATTGTAGTCTTTAATGGAATTCCAAGAGGTAAGTACAAAATTCTTCCCGTCGGACTATATTTTTCGAAGGGACGACATTAGAACCACTCAATATATAAACACAACTTTTAAAAATCGTATGATGGAACCAAACTTATGTCTCTCATGTCGCGAGTAAGATATATTTGTACGACTATAGTTTTATTTTCTATAATCATGATAGGTAACATGTTTTTTTACGCTCATCTAACACGTGAATTGGTATCAAAACTCTCTAATTATTCATGAGACGTTCTAGTTTTACGGGTTCAAGTTAAAAACATACCATGAAAAAGGAAAACCTAAAAAGGAATTTATAATAAAATGTGCAGATATAGTTATTGAAAAAAAAAAAAAAAAAAAGTAAAGGCACCTCAAAGGAAAGTTGTAAGTCTCAGCTAATACATAACTTTAGGAACTTACATTAACTTAACAAAGTAACTTAGTACGTAGTGTTCAGAGGAAAAAAAAAAAAAGACGCATAGTACGTAGTGCTTATTGCTCTTTATATTTCTTTTTCCTATGGGTTCCATGAGTAGTTAGGACATAAACGTCTTCTTAAGAGCCATCAAATTTCTCAACCGCTAACATCACAGAGTGCTAAAAGCAGGACTAGAAAGGAATTAAAATCATTCAATTCACCATAACCACCAATAATTACACACCATCCCTTCTCCAAAAGGCCACACGTAGCTAGCTACACTCAAACCTCAAATTTTTTGGACTTCAAAAAAATAAAATTAAAAAAAATTAAAAAAAAACCCTCAATTTTTCCTATATAAAGCACCAATCCCTAGTGTATTTTACCACTCACTCAAACTTATAATCAACAGTATACTAACACAAAATATAGTGAAATATTCACAAGTACTTTTGTCGTGAAAATGGCAAGCTTTTTGGCTCTCAAGCTCACGTGCATGGCGTTGGTGTGCATGATGGTTGGTGCACCGTTAGCCCACGCCATCTCATGTGGCCAAGTGGCGACTTACATGGCGCCATGCATAACTTACCTAAGAACCGGCGGCACAATTCCGTCGGGGTGCTGCAATGGACTCAGGGGCCTAAACACGTCGGCAGCCACCACGACAGACCGCCAGACCGTCTGTCGATGCTTGATTAGTGCTGCTAATAATTTGCCAGGACTTAACCCTTATCTTGCCTCTGGCCTCCCGGCTGCTTGTGGACTTTCTCTTCCTTACAAGTTTAGCACCTCAACCAACTGCAACAGGTACGTATCTAGCTATTGCTTGCTTCATACGTTTACTAATTGTAACAGCAGTGACACATCTTAAGCTTAATTATAAAGACTAAATCATCATGTTTATTACTATATATCACGTGATAATGCTAGCTACGACACTACTATGCGAACAATTTTTGACGAGTACAAGGTAAAAATTATGTCATTAATTATTGAAAACTTGCAGCTAATTTGTCTGTTCGAGCGTGTATATATGTGGAAGACTTCAACAATATATATATATATATATATACACATATATACGAGTAACCATTAATACCATTATATATATGTGTGTGTGTATATATATATATATATATATATATATATTTTAGGAGCGGCGAATGGTTTTCATTATTGGTTTGTTTCTTATTCATAATATAAGCTTTCTAGTTAGTTTGGCTGGTTGTGCATCTTTATGGATTAATTAATGTATGGATTTGATCCTTTCCTCGACTGTATATTTTTATAGTATTGTTTCACGCATATATAGTAATTATACTTTTCTAAATCTTGCAATACTTAATTGCAGCATCAAGTGAAGTTGGACGAGCTAGTAATCTTCTGCGACAGATGATAGTATGGTGCGAGAATAAAGTGGGTGTTGAATCCACATAATTAGCTTATCTCTCATGTATTATAATAAATAAATAAATAAAAAAGAAGCTTATCTCTCAGGTGATGTACTACTGCTTTAGTCGTGGGTTTGTTTGAATGTTAGCACTTTTCAAAGTACTACTTTGTTAATCTTGGATAGATAAGTTAATGCACTATTAACTTTCCATATAAAATAGCATTCTCCTTCATTAAATTAATTGTGGGAATTTGATTTTATTTTTGTCATGTAAAGAAAGGATAACTGATAGCAAAAAAGCTTCACATATTTGACTTGGTTGACATCCGCTGAGAAACTCATCTGATAATAAACTATCCCCCTTTAACTTATTATTAAAAATAAAAAATAAAACAAAACAAGAAAATAAAAAAGACCAACATGAAACAACCTACATAGAAAGCAAATGAAAAACAACATCTGAAATGAAAAAGGATCTATTCCCTTTTTCTTTTTTTTTTTTTTTTAAAGTATGAGACCTTGTAATAAATACAAGAAAAAACCTTTTTAGCGACGATAATTAATCAAAATTAATGGACTGTTTACGTCTTTCAAAATTCATGCTCATGAATCTTCTTGTTTCTATTTTGGAAAAAAAAAAAAAAAAAAAAGTTTGGGTAAACAACTAAACTACTTGCGGAAAAGAGAGGACTGGAGAAATGAGACCCTTGTTAGTAATGCCGGCATATTTTACTGTCTTGTAGTTTTTTTTTTTTTTTTATTTTGTTAGTTACTTTTGTAGCTTGTGTTTTATGTTTAATCAAAAAATATAACATCTGCTCTTAATCTTATCAAATGTTTATATACATCATATAATATTTGTTAGACAAATTCTTACCTTTTACCAGTTAAAGCACTCAATATTAAAATAAAGAAAAGAAATAAAAGAAGTAAGAAAACTACATAAAGAAAGAAAACTCAAATATCAGTTTCAATCATAGTACAGAGAACCATTTCCCTCAAATAAGGTCGCGGAAGGGATTTTTGCAGTTCAACTTAGAAGAAGCTCAGATTTATCAAAACTATAATTGCTACACAGGAAATAGACCCTCCACAATACCAGATGCATCCATTGGCATATATATTGCGCATATTACCCAAGTAATAAAAAAAAAATCTAGTAGGAGGAGGATCTTCGGATGAGAAATCTGGGACAGAGAAGATGAAAGAGAGAGGGAGGTTGAGGATGAGGCAGGGGGCATCAGTCGCTGTGGTGTACGGTGAGGAGGTGAGTGTTTTCTTTAAGTTATTAGTTGTTTGGTTTTTTTATTCAAAATTTTTGGGCCCGTTTAGTTTATTTATTCTAGTTTTTAATTTGAATTAAAATTTAATTTTATGTGAGAATATTTTATTGTAATAAAAAATTAAATGTGATTATTTTTAAAAAAATTTTATTATAATAAAACTTAAATCAGTAAAATGAGAAATGAACGGAGCTTAATTTTAAGGGTATTTGAGCATTTTTGAAGTTAAAGCCCAGTGTTGACTGAGAAAATACATGAACTTTTATGCGTTTGTCTATTATCTGTTGGTATATATAATATATATCTGATGACATTAAAAACTAAAAATATACCGCATAAACTTAAAATATGGGATTAAAAAGATGAATAATACTGAAATGCTAGAATGTTACTATCTTGTTGTGTACCTCTTGTTTAGGAATGTCACATAATCTTGTAAGTTGTAAACGGAGAGTAACATTTGAAAAATTACTCTCTTGTAAAGCAACGTTCTTTTTCTTTTTTTTTTCTTTTTTTTTTAATCTAGTATTCTCGTACATTCTCGTTTAATGCATCGACTCATTTTGGCCAACCAATATACATAGAAGCAGTGCGACTTTACATTCTAATTTGATGATTTATAATGTGGAATCTAACTAATACATCGATCACACTATAATGTGGGATCCTTGTTTTTTTCTTCTTTGATCATACATAATGTGGAATCTAACTAAATTACATTTTTTTTATGGACCTACTTTGAGTTTTGTTTGTTATAACAATGTGCCTGTTTATTTTCATTTTTGAAAACGTTTTTCACGTTTTTCGAAGATAAAAAATTAAAACTGACATAAAAACCATGTTTGGTGCAGTTTATCAAAATTGAAAACAAAAACGTTTTTGTCCTTTTCCCAAAATCTGAAAACGACTTAAGATCATTTTCTCTGTTTTCGTTTTTGTTTCCTTCTTCTCCCATTTGCATCTTCCGATTCAACCCTCTCATGAGCCTCCGCCAGCGACCATCCCCACCGTCGCATCCGGGCCCGGTAGCGGTGGCGGGAGACCCGGAGTCGGAGCTGTACAACATAATCCCGGTGCACAACCTGCTCACGGACCACCCGTCGTTGCAGTTCCCGGAGGTTCGAGCTGCGACGCGGCGCTGCGAGCCGTCGAGAACCTCCATCAGCCGCCGTTCGTGCAATGGCTCCCTCACATGGACCTCATCGATTGGCTCTTCGGCTTCAAAAACGATAGTGTTCGAAACCAGAGGGAGCACCTCGTCCTCCACCTCACGAACGCCCAGATGCGCCTCACGCCACCGCCAAACAACATCGATACACTCGACGCCGGCGTCCTCCGCCACTTCCGTAAGAAGTAGTTGAAGAACTACACCGATTGGTGCTACTATTTGGGGAAGAAGTCCAACATTTGGATCTCTGACCGCCGCGAGGCGTCGTCGGACCAGCGCCGTGAGCTGCTCTACGTCTCGCTTTATCTCCTGATTTGGGGTGAGTATGCTAATCTCCGATTTGTTCCAGAGTGTATTTGCTATATATTTCATAATATGGCCATGGAATTGAACAAGATTTTGGAAGATTACATTGATGAGAACACGGGTGGATTGTGGTGCTGAGGAGTGTTGTTGCCGCAGGGTGGATTGTGGTTTTTAGGGTGTTCTATGCGAGGATTTGGACACAGAGGAATAATAATAGGAGGTGGTTGGCCGAGGCGAATCGGAGGGTGGAGACTTTTCTTCAGGTGGCATTGGCTTTTGTTCTCCCGGATATTATTATTTAAAATACTATTATATGTTTTTAAAAATTAAACCACTAAACGCAGTTTTAGTTTTTTTTTTTAAACTGAAAACAATCTCAGAATAAAACTACCAAACACATTTTCAGAAATGATTTTAAAATGGAAATGAAATGTTTTCATTTTCATTTTCATATAGAAAACAAAATTATTTTGAAACGAATTCCAAACGCACCCAATATTTTAAAAAAAAAAAAAAAAAAAGCTTAGAAAAATGTATGGCTGAAATGTTGAAATTAAGCTATTCTGGAGAAGTAATTACCATTACACGCTCATTTGCTCATTATGTTAGTTTGACAAGTAAGGACAAGTCAGTCATTTTATTTTACTTTTGATTATGTTTTTTCACAAAAATTTAAATTAAAAAAGTTCCCATTTATGACTCACAAAATTGTACTTAAACGCGTAAATTAAACAAGCCAAGAGTGACAGTTTTGTTTCTAGACAATCCCTCTCCTCTACTTTGGTTATATGGGTAATGGGATTAAGATAACAGACCCATGCGTTATTTTATAGTAGAAAATAGACCAATATGAAAAGTTTAAGAAAGTATATAGGTCAATTTTTAGTTATAGAAATTAATAAACCATAATTTGTGAAATTATGGTTTATAACCAGATAAATTATGGACAAACTTGTCAAGTTATGGTTCATAGCCAGACAAATTATGGATAAAAATTAAAAATTATGGACAATAACTTGTCAAGTTATGGTTCATAACCAGACAAGTTATGGACGAAAACAGTAATTTAACCTATTTATTAACTTATGTAAACTATTGATCTATTAATTTTAATTCATCTCAAGTCTTAACCTATTTCCCTCTTTTTCCCTTCATTTATATTCTCGACATATACCAAACTATTCATTCTTTCATTTTCACTTATCAATGCCTCGAAGGTAAGTGTGTCAAATATATATAATACATATATCTGTGTGTGTATAAAGACACCACCTTTTCCTGCTAACACAACACAAATGGTAATATTGTTGACAATTTTTTATTGAAAAAGACTAGATACATATAACTAGTGATGACCATAATAACTAGCTTCGGGAGAATTCGTGAGCTCCATATTTCAGAAATGAAATACATATTTATTTTGTAGAGTAAATTATTGTACCATACGGTATCAGAAAAATGTCTGAAGACCAACCTTTTTTTAATTCTGTAGTACCATGTCTCCCCTCAAGTGCAAGCATTTAACCTGCCCAACCACAATTCATACAAGTAATAAACCAAACCCAACTACCAATATTAATTATTGGAACCCCACCACAACATACTAGAATTGATACAGACTAGCACTTTGTATAGATTTAGTCCACTAAAACTACCTTCTTTCTCTATATAAACATCCCAGAATTGAACCCCTTGGACTCTCAACCAGCTCCGAACAAACATACTAAGAACCATAATGGCCACCTCAAGACTCCTTAAGTTGGCCTGTCTAGTTGTAGCCACATTGCTCGTATTAGGCGCGCCCAAGGGCACCAAAGCTGCGGTCAGGTGGTAAGATACCTAATGCCGTGCGTCTCCTACGTGGTAAATGGCGGAACTGTGCCAGCGGCATGCTGCAGCGGGATCAGGACGCTCTACAGCTTAGCAAAGACCACCGACGACCGCCAGGGAGTCTGCACGTGCTTGAAAGACGCCATCAGCGGGTTCTCTTACAACGGCAATAATGTAGGCCTTGCAGCCAGGCTGCCTAGCAAGTGTGGCCTCAATCTTCCTTACAAGATCAGCCCCTCTACTGACTGCAAAACGTATATATATAACTCTTATCCACGTCCTTCACTAATTTTATAGTTTGTGCTTCTGATTTTTTTTTTTTTTTATCTATAGTACTCTACGTATATAATCAACTTATAATACTTGGTGTAGCATTTTAATTCTAAATTCTAATGGTACATAAACTGAAAGTACTAGTGGTCTAATTACGTTTATAACATTCATTTAAAAAAAAGGACAATTTTTTTTATTTTATGATCCTCTTTTTTTTTTTTTCTTTATCTACATTGTTTCGCAGGGTCAAGTGAAATCGATGAAAATAGTGGATCATCTACATAAAGGATATGTAGTCGTTTTCAGAATAAATCGGTGTTTTCTTTCACCGAAATTGTCACTGATGGTACCGTACTATGGTAGTGGACCTGACAAATTATGATCAGTTATATTAATGTGTCGTTTGTGATGAAGTTAATGGAACTACGTTGTAACAGCTAGTACTCTCTTTAAAAGTTCTAAATCTTAAGTTAATGGTATGATTTTTTTTTTTTTTTCTCTTTTCCTTTTCCTTTTTGAGAGTGATGTTTAATCCACTAAACTTTTACCACTGGCTCTCATCGAACATTAAGAAAGGCAATAGATCCGAAATTAAAAAAGATGAAAAAATGAAGGTGCTAATGCCAAATGGAGCGACAAAGATCTATAGGCTATCAATATCAAGAGTCTTATCGAAAATTTCTCTGTATTCTCCTGAAGAAGAAGAAGAAGCAATGCAATTAGGCCTACCTGGAAAGATTAAGCGTGGCAACATCACTGGTCGTTTTTTGAATAAAGGGTAGCCTGCAACGGATGTGTAAAAATCAACAAATTCAGTAAATTATTTTAGAAAAAAACCAAAAATACCACTCTACTCAAAAATAAACAATTGTCATTTAATTAATAAAAAGAACAAAAAAAACTATGATAACACCCAATTATTTAGAATGACATAAATAATAGGTTTGTACAAAACCGTGGCAAACCATGTATGTTTCTCGATAAGAACTTATGATTTAGAACTAATGAAAAGTGTAGTATCACTGAGGTGAAGAGTAAACTCACTTGCAATCAACTGAGGTCAGATAGATCGAGACTAATTCATATCAGCAATATTGAAAAATAATCATTTGATACGCATGATATAAACGGTCAACAAGAGTACAATGGCAATTTCTACTCTATTTACACACAGCTTGATTTGTTTCTGCACATGTCCATTCCTGACGTTACAAACCTAGAATGACCATAGGATTAATGATAAACAAAGCATGACATTGCTTGTAAGCAAAATAGCATTCTTTACCTTACGCATTTAAAACATACAAAAAGAGCCATTTGTTAAATGTCTCTTCAAAAATTATCTATATATATATATATATAGAAGCCTCATCAGATTAATGGTGTCGGCGTTTTATGTCGTCCTTCAACTCACAAGGTTTGTCCTCCTAATAAAAGAGGGAAGCAGGACGTTCTTGACTGCCTAATGAGTTCGATTAAAATTTATCCACTGAAGCATTGACAGTTCCCAGCACCTGGAAACATTCAAAGAGAAATCATATTGGCATGGAAAAAGTATAACACAGAAGTGAAGTATGAGATACATAATATTACTTTCTTTTACCTAATCTTGTGTTGGATGTGATTCTTCATTGACATTAATATCCTCACCCAAGAAAATTTTCTCTAGTCGAACCGCAAAATCATTTGATGACGAGCTTAAACGGAGGTTTTCTCTTCTCAAGTCATCTATTTCTCTCCTCAACTGTGCATTCTTCTCTTCTAAGTGAGAACGTGACAACAGCTGGTTTCTTAACAATCCGTTTTCCCCTCTAAGCTTGTCTACCTCCCTCTCCAATTCCATGACTTTCTCTTCTGGTCTCTGAACTCTGGTTCTCAAATCCTCCAATCAGATAGAAATATTTCTCAATCAAAGGAATGATAGGATATTGAAAAATTAATTTAAAAAAAACAAACAAACAAACAAAAAAATAAAAAGAACAGATACAAGGATACTATCTTACATCCTCAGTAACAATGATTGTGCTACCACGTTCTGATGGGGCTACTAGATTTGGCCGCTCTTGTATCTTTGACATGCAACATGGCGTAGACGGGCATTCTATTGTGTCTGTTATGACTTCAGGAACATTCTGTGTCAGAGTATCCAAATTTGCCAGTCGATTGTTTTGTCCTTCATTGATTGAGCTTGTTTCAGACTCGGTTTCCACTTCAATAACTTGTTTATCCATCATATTAAGTCTAGTTTCAAAGTTAATGCTCTCTGTTATGACAGGAACCTTCTGTGTCTGATTATCCAAATTTCCTTGTCGATCATTTGGTACTTCATTGGTAGAACTTGTTTCCAAGTGAGTTTCCACTTCAATTACTTGTTTGTCCATCATCTTCAGACTCCTTCCAAAGTTAATTCCCTGTCAAATACACAATTACGTTCCCTAAAAATTGTATAAAACACGCAAACAAAAGGAATATTTTGTGTCAACTTTGAAATAAATACGTTAAGTACACTCAAATTCCCTATCAAGTTGTCAATAGGAGTGTAGTGCCATAAAATGGAAGACAACAGTACGAAGCAACTCACTGTAATAACTGGCAAGTCCACAGAAGAGTTTTCTGCTTCAGAATTCTCCTCCAAGTTATTCTGTACCTCCAATAATTCTTTAATTATATCAATTTCTGACTCCAAGGAAGTTGATTGAAGCTCCCAGGTCACCTGATACGATGCGCTTTTAGTTTTACATACAAAGAAAGCTCCACAACCAGGGATAGATTCAGACAGATTTTTTGTTTCTCTCTTCAACCCTTAAAACTAAGCATAGTGCAGAGGGTATAGCTTTTGAAAAGTAGTTCAAGTTACAGCTATATTGTAGCACGGTAAACAAGAACATAAAAGTTAAAGAAAAGACAAGTAGATAAGTGCTCATTACCTGATTATCCACTAGATCCTTAAATTTTGCACCTAGCTGTTGTCTATTGTGGGAGTTAGATTTATCCCAATGGCAGATACGAGGAAATGCTTCACAACTATCTAACAATGGAGGCCGAGCTACATCAATATGCTCAAAAGACCATATCTGCCAAGTAATCGAAACAAACGCTCAGAATTGCATAACAGGTCAGAAGCTTAAAACTAAAGATTCATATAAAGGATGGGTTGCGCAAAACTGAAATGCGATAGTTTATGTCTGCTAAAAATTTCGACATCATGTTTATAAATTCCTAATAAATAATGCCAATATATAAGATATATTATATATCGAACAAAAAGGAACTCACTTGGAGAAATGCAAGACAACTTCCAACATATTGTACAGTCATCTCTTTTCTCCTATCTAACCACATCAAAACATCTTCAAGAACAGCCGCACCCCAGGCAAACTCACAGATACCATCTGTATCTTTCATAAAATAAAGAAAGCAGGAATCCACTTTTCCGTTTGCATTTGGGAAAAGAAAAGTGCCAAATGCATACAGCAAAAACGTTCTTACAAAGTCATCGTTGCAAATCTCACCCAAAGAGTTTAGTCTACTCTTTAGAGATGCAACTGTGATTTTTCGATTCCACGTTTCCGCACCATATTCCCTTTCCAGATGTATAAATGGCCGGTCACCATCAAGTATGACAGGAGCACCAACAACGCGCAAACCCAAAATTAAGGCAACATCCATCACATTTATCCGTATTTCACCAGGGGGAAGTATAAAGGCATGTTTAACAGTGCTCCATCTCCTCATCAACTCAGCTAGTAAATTTTTGTTGAGTGTCTGGTTGGGCATCCGCAGCAGATTCCCGAAACCCGTTTTTTCTATTGCAGTCCTTTGATCATCTGTTAGCCTCTCCACTTGCTTAAGAAATGACGGGAAAGAAAACCGAGTACTAAAACTCTCATTCTCAGTCTGCACAAGCATATTTGAAACCCAGTTTAAAAATTGCTTTCATCACGCATTTAACTCGATATTCTTTCTGAAATGGCCTAAATTGCATGATGAATACGTTCAAAAGCTCTAAAGATAAAGAATTGCAATTAAGAATAGGAAATGAAACTCATTAAACTATATCAAATGTTGCAACTTGCAAGAAAAAAGAACTCCAATTTCCTTTTAATTATTATCAGGCGTATTAGGGAGGAGGATAAGAACTGCATCACCCACTATCGTACAAAACCATAAGGATTGTCCATTTGGTTTTTTTGTTTGAAAAGAAAAAAATAAAATACCCAAAACATCATGAAAACTACTACAATTTCAAATTAGGTTATACAACAAGAATAAAAGAAATGAAGAATAAACATCCAAGCCCCAACTCAAGATCAAGTAATAACTCGGCAGAAATTGTAGTATATAGCAGATTTTCTAAACTTAGATAGTAAATAACATAGGATCCGAATAGCATGTTCTTAAAAATTTGAACTTGTTTTTTCCATTTTACCCTTATTTTTAATCAGGGTTAAAAAGGAAACCAAAAAATTCCCCCAAATTGGGAAAACCTAGATCCCAAAATCTCTCTCTCTTCCCTCTTTCTCTCAAAACGTTCTCCCTCTTCCCTCTCCCTCTCTTTCTCGGCTCTCTCTCTCGCAGGCGTCTGCAACCTGCATTCCTGATCTTCGCACCGCACCGTGCTGCTGTCAGCCATCATCATTTCTGCTATAAATTTTTATTACCCTCTATAATTATGCTATTTGCTTCATTCCCCCACAAATTGGATAAAACAATGACAACCCACAAAGGAGGGAAAAAAAATCACCGAACTTACCGTTAACTTTAAGAATGTATGAATTTAAATTTTTATCTCTTATTTTTTAATTAATACCCTTTTACTTTAAAAAAATAATATCATTTTGATTAATATAGTTCTTTGACTAATGGTGAAGAATAAAAAATTAAAACTCATGTTCTCTAAGGATATTTCTCTCCAATCCCCCCCCCCCCCCCCAAAAAAAAAAAAAAAGCATTGCAATATGCAACTCACAAAATGAAGAATCAAGAAATCTACCCAATTAACTTAGGCCTGGTTCTTTTCATTGGTTTGAATTACAATTAAGTTTTTATTATAGTAATTTCTCTCACATAAATTCACTTTTAAACTCAAGTTGAAAACTCAAATCAACAAAACAAACATTTGTAATCTGCATTTCCAGCAGGAAAAAAAAAAAAAAAAAAAAAAAAACCTTGTTGTCCGAACTTTCCTCAAGTTTCAGAATTTCAATGACAAACCAAGCAAAAGCAGCATTTTGTTGGGCGCATTAACTACAATTGGCAAAAGCAAAATTAGCCAAAATCTGTATTCCGCAACAAAGCAAATAGAGCATAACAGCCTAACAGTTGAGTTAAGAGTTGTGCATTTTTCGTTTTGCAGAAACAACGAAGGATTGCAAAAGAGTACACGTACCAAATCGAGAGAATCCGAAACTTCTAGAGAGGATAATCGAGCCGATCTTCTCCTCATTGAGAAACTCTTGCGTTGCCTTTGAGATTCGGATACAGAGAGAAAGAGAGCAAACGCAGAAGTTGTGCAGACTTCAAACAAAAATTTCAGTCGTTTTGTTGCTAAGCTGAAGCTTGCTGGAGAAGCCGTTAAGTCCGAGTTAAAAAGGCAATCTTGCCCTTCCTCAACTTAAATCCAGATAAGGGACAACCCGTAATTGTTTCGAATTTATTTTGGCCAGACAAAAATACCCTGCATTCGAAGCAATTTACCGCCAAAAGTAGAGATGAAAGAATGGGCTGGCCCGGTCCGGCCCGTTCTCCTTAGGTCCACGCGGGCTGTGAGCCGGGCCAGCCCGTATAAGAATTACTTCAGCTCAGCCCACACTATGAGTCAGGTTGGGCTTTGCCGTAAGTCAGAATGGGTCCTGCCATGGCCTTGAAGGGGTTGGCCTATCTTGGCCCATCTTAATCCATCATAGGTTTAAATGGGTCAGCCCATCTAAACATGTAATTTTTAATTTTTTAATTTTTATTTTTTATTTTTGAATTTTTAAACAAGTTAATAAATATAAAAATTTGAATAATTAATGGAAATATGAAAAAAGATATTTTATTTACGATTGCCTCATTAAATAAAAACATTTTTAAGAAAAATCCAGTGGGACAAAACCTTAGTAAGAAAAAAAGAGTACAATCAGGATAAATTATACATAAGATATTTACAAAATTATTTAAAAAAAAGAAAAAAAAACGTGAATATATTATGAGCCTAAATGGACTGGGCTGAGCTGGCCCATTATGGGTCTAGACGGGCTGGGCTAGGCTGGCCCATTATGGGCCTAGGTAGGCCAGCCCAGCCCAAGCCCGACCTAACCCATGATTTTTCATGAGCCGTGCCGGATCGGTCCATGGACTGATATATGTTAGCCTAACTCAGCCTACTAATATTTATAGGTTGGGTTGTACCTTAAACAGTGACGGACCGTGCTAGCCCGGCCAGTCATTGTGTCGATGGGCTTGGGCCAGCCCACGGGCCCCGGCCCATTGTTGCATCTCTAGCCAAAAGTTACTAACCCGTTTTGTTTTTTTCTTTTTTTTTTTTTTTTCACCCTCCACCAGGCCTTTTCTTCTTCAGACTTCTCACTTCGGGAGAGGAATTGTATTTCATACGGATTTGCACTTTGTATGAGTTTAAGTTGAGCACTTGAGTTAGAAAATTAACTTATGTGTTTTTCGTAGAAAAAATTCAAATTAAAATTTTTGTAAAAGAAAATATTTTAATAAGAAGTTTGAGTTGTTATTGGATTAAAAAAAGTTTATAGACATGTTTTTTAGTTGAAGTGAATAACGATCAAATTACAAATAGGCAAGTTTTATTGTAAAAAGCGAGATAAAATTTAAAAAAATATCTCCTCAATTTTAAGAAAGGGAAAATTTCATTTTAGTATTTCTGTTATATTAAATTATGAGTTTAATACTATCTGTGATTAATAATTTCTCACGGATGCGTGACGTTTTAAAAAACTTTGTTCTTTTTTGAGACGTGAAAGGTCATTTACACCCTCTCCAAAGTCCAAACTGAGCGGCAAAATACTGATTTACCGCTCGATTTGCACTCCAATCTGGCGCCATGGCATTTTCACTTTGCCATTTTCAAGTACTGTTCACTCAGCTCAATTGTGTGTGTGTGTGTGTGTTTTTTTTTTTTTTTTGCTTTTGTTAATTACAGTAGAAGCCTGTTTGCATTTTTTTTTTTTTCTAACTTTTACTCCAATTTCAAAACATGATCAAAATTTCTTCTTTTTTGCTACTAAAAAATAAAAAATAAAAAATAAAAAACTTCCTTTTGATATTCCAGTTTTTTAATTTTTTAAATGATTTTAGTTTAATTTAAATATTTGTGAAAATGAATTAAATGCATATTTAATTACAAAAATTAAATGACAATTAAATTAATAAACTTACAATAATGTGTTCTATGTATAGTCAGTTAAATAAATTAATTGTTAGTAATTACTATAGTGAGTAAAAAATATATAAAAAAGGATTATAAAAAAAGAATACACCGAGAATATTCTTTTTAGGGTAATGTTTTAGAGCAAATGGGTTGAAGATGAACTTTTTCAGTGGCGTGAAATTATTTCTTTTTAAAGATAGATTAATTCTAAAATGGAGTAATGGGTTGGTGATGGCCTTTTACCCTTATATTATACTTGATTTCTCATTTTATCAATTTATTAAAAATATTTAAAAAAAGCATGAAATAGAAAAAATAAATAAATAAAGAACTAAGACCACCAGATCTACCATAAACAAAACTAAACAAAAATATATCTATCAAAATCAAAACCAATTTCACATAACAAAACCAAATAGATCGACCAACAAGGCATCAAAATCAAGCAGATTAAAAATACCAAGAACTAATAGGGGGTATTTTTTTCTCTGAAAAAACCTCAATCACTTCATTAGATCATTCAAAAAAGCTGGTTCCACAAGTGGGGGAGACATCACTGTTCAAACATATCCAATAACATGATGCGCAAGTGCCCATACGCCAAGCTCATGTACTGGCGTCTTACCTTTCTTTGAACCCAACTAAAAGAAACAGAGACAAAAGATAACAGATCCAACGGTCTATAAAAACGGGCCAAGCAAACCACTGAGGCGGAGGGGAAGCAGAGGTCATGGCATTAATTGAGGGTATTCGAATTTCTTTTTCCGAACAAATCAGACCAAACTAACACCAAGGGCTCGTACATTTTACCATTCGAGTTTAGAATTTGAATTTTATTATAGTAAAAAACTCTCAAAAATAGTACATTTAAATTTTTTACTACAGTAAAAAGATCTCACATAAAGGCTTAGTTTGGTAATGCTGTAGATTTTAAAAAAAGTATTTTTAGCTGTGCTGTAAGAAAAAACAGCTGTTCCAAAAAGCAGTTGAGTATTTGGTAAATTGTAATTATAGTAGCTGTGCTGGTTCCAAAATCAGTAAATAGCGTTTGGTAAATTTTAAGGTGGAATTACTGTGGGTATGTAAAATGATCAAAATAGACATGATATGAAATTTAAATATATATAATTATTTATGGTATTTAAAAATACTTGTTTAACTTTAAAAACACATAATATTTTGATTTTGAATTTTTTAACAATAAATTTATGATAATTAATTCTCTTTTTTTTTAGTCTAATTATTACATCGGAATTCTTAGTGTTTCCTTTCCGTGGTATTATTTCTCCCTCCCTCAAATTTTTTTTATACACGTACTTGTATGAGATGATGAATCAATTTCTTTAGAGGAAACTTTGAAGATTGCAAATTTTACTCAAATGATAACACTTGTTTCATTGGATTGCTTAGTTAAATGTATCATGTAAGTTTTGATTAATTTGAACTTAAGGAGTTTACTTCTGATGGCAGAATTTGCTCACATGCTCACGGCTATGAGTCCCTATTTGCATCTTTTATCTTAAAAGTTTGTCCATGTACTTTTTTGTTATCCTTATTGTTTGATAAAACTGGTTATGGTCAAAATATGGCATCGTCAGGCACAATGATTTTAGTAAGCAGCAGAGTTTTCTTGCAACTTTGATCCCTGAAAGTTGGATACCTTTGTTCACATGTAATACCTTTGTTCATATATATATTATAAGAAACAGGAAAGTTACCTTTGCTAATTTTTTTAAAACGCCATTGTTGATTAACTCTGGCCATTCCCAGATACATCTTCTCCTTATATCACCTTGTTTGCTGAATAACAGAACATAAAGTATATACCTACAAACTTTACAGTAACAGGAGTAACAAAACCCGATACTGAAACAAAACGATCTTCTGTTGATAATGCTAACAAAGTAGAGGGTACATGTTATAGAAATACAAAGAACCAAATACAAAATACAATCCCTCACACACACACACACACACTTAAATACAAACATATATATCCACACACACGTAAATGCAAATATATATCCATACACACACCCCACGTATATACCTACAAATACAAACTTAAGTCCTACAAATACACACGTATATACCTACAAACTTAACTCAAATGAAAAGATTTAAGTCGTATTCATTAAGCTTACTGCAATTTGATCTCGTACTTCATCCATTTCCAATGATAGTAAAGCTTCATCTCTTCTACATTACTGTCATCTGGTTGATTCTCTTCATAAACGAAATCATCTAGATTATTCTCGACCCTTTGAAAATGTAGATCACGCTTACGATGCTTCCTAATGTAGTTATGGAGCGCCATTGTAGCAATAACTATTTTCACTTGCTTTGCAAACGCATAATTTGGCATGTCCTTCAAAATTTTTCATTTTTTCTTCCAGACACCAAATGTGCGTTCAATGACACTTTGAAGAGAAGAATGTGCTTGGTTAAATACCTCTTTATAGCCAGTTGGTCGACGACCCATTCGAAATTGTTCTAAATGGTATCGTTCTCCTCTATAAGGTCCAAGAAATCCTTTTAATTGTGGATAACCCGCGTCAACTAAATAGTATTTACCTATTGAGATACAAACACAAAGACTTAGTAATTAATAAAACAGAGTTCTTATGAATATAGAAGAGGTTTTAACCTTCTGGTGGTTTTGGAAACTTCAAACTTGTACGGCGTAGTGCTACTAAGAATATTCTTGTATCATGAGCACTACCTTCCCAACCTGCATATGCATATGTAAATTTCATATTGAAATCACAGGCAGCCATCCCATTTTGGGTTGGCACCCGCTTTCTACCAATAAATGGGACTTGATCTTCTGGTCGTATTATAGCTGGAACGTGTACGTCATCTATTGCACCTATACAGTTCTAAAAAGAAGAAAGTTCTATGTTTAAAATGAATACTTGAAATAAGGAAGGAAACATATTATGAACTAAGAGAATCCCTTAAAATGAGGCATATATCTACAATCCACTAATATCTCTTGAGGCACTCCACTAAACTCTGGATCATCAAGCTTTATAACATCCATACTCATACGACAGACAATGTCTAGAACATACTCAAAATATCTACTAATTGTTTCACCAGAGTGTTAAAATCGTTCTTGTGTTGAACGATTTCCCGCACCCTGACCTAAAATGAACAAAAACATTCCGACTATTTCAAACGTGGATATATTTCTTGATCCCTGTAATCCGTAATTACATTGCAAATCATTACGTAGGGACATAAATACATCCTTATCCATTCTAAACATTATATAACTTCTAATTTCATGTCCGCCTAATAATTCCATTACCCACATGTTTCCAGTTTGAGTAGAGTTCATACAAGGATTTTTGTGAATATACTTATTATAATATTGTTTAATGATGTGTGCAGTAACACAAACAAGTTGTAAACTTAGCTGGGTAATATTATCAGACATCCCAGCTAATAATGAAGAAACCTGCATGTAAACAATGTTCAAATGAAATAATAGAAAATATCAATGTCTGATGGATAAAAATAGAGTACAATATTCAATATAATGTATTCGAAAGCATGGAAAAACAACATTATGGTACATAATTAATGAAAGCCGCACTAAAATATTACTCATAGTAAAGGAAGACTTAAGGGACACTCAATGGAATTTAAGAGGATGATCCTAGGCCGTGCTCAAACTTAAACCAGTTGAGCTGCAACTCAGGTCGTTTCAAAGCAAAAAATGACTCTCTTTTAATCGTGTCTGCGCACAAGTGGACAGCAAAAAAATACAACTCGCTCCCACTCTCTAATCCAGGTAGAGATTCAAGGACTTCAACAAGTCGTGTCATGCTATAATCTGGTCCTTTACTTTGTGCAATGGATGATCCGGTACTAATAGTCTCCACTACGGTGACAAGGCGCTCAATTTGTTGAGACAATTTGGCCGCACCGCCAACTTTATCCTTGCCTTTCCCTCTTTTGAATTTCTTTTGTCCTTCTTCTAGCTCGATTGGACGCTTCTTCTTAGGGTCCTGTGGCCTCTCTCTTCCAATAGGTGCATCTGACGATCCACTACTCTCAAGTTGTTCAAGTGGGGATATCATTTCATTTGCTATTTTATCATCCTCACATGGCATCTGTCCAGATGCGGGTGTCCAAGCATACACCCCTGTGGCCACAGTATTAGTAAACATCCTATTCAACTTATCCTCAAACTCTGGTTCAATTCCCCGCGTGCGAAACTTCGCTGCGTTAGGATGAATCTGTAAAAATACTTTAATAAATTAAACCTGCCACACACTAAATGTACACACTATCAATAATGTGCAACTTCATTCGTATATTGTTTGTATACCTGCAATTTATTATGCCACCATTCCTCAGATGCATCAATAGTGTTCTTTTTATTGTTCCAACCTAAACCAGTTTCCTTCCCAACAAGTTCCTTCCAAAGTTTCCAATCATTCTTCAAAGCATCCCACTTATTCTTCAATTGTGTTCTTTTATACACTCGTTTGGTTGCTTCGTTAAATTTTCGAATTACATTTTCCCATCCAACTTTGTCAAGATGTGTCCCAGGTCGGTGTCCACCTTCAACCTCTTTGATACACAAATCACAAAAAAGCTGTATTGCCTCGGTATCCCATATCGCTTTACCTTGTGCTGTACTACCCTCCATTTGAACAAATGATGACTGAAAGTGCTACCACCATTATAAACCCAACGCATATTTATAGATAATAAAAATAACTAAAGCAGCTTAAGGCTTTTTTAAGCAAATGATAATGAACAAATAGCTAACCAATATTTAACCACAAGAGTGTCAACCTCCATTCTTGCTAGTATTGCAATTGAATGGTAAAAACGAATAGAACGGTAAAAATGGCAAATGATCAAACAGTTTAAGCTGTAAATAAATAAGATAGATAAATCTAGATATCGTCCCTCGAGAAAGGGTGTTATCAAATACCAATATTATAACTATATTATTTAGAAAGTCACAATGTTCAGAATTGCAATAAGTAACAATGACAAAAATTAATTGCTAATAACACAATTGAATAAACTTAGTAAAATCAATGGTGAAGGTTCTAGAGCTTGGATTTCTTCAATTGGTTTCCAATGATTAATTGACAATGAACCGGCTTGGCATGCATGAATCAAACGAATCACAGTTTATTGCCTATATAACTCTATATAACTCTATGTAACTCTGTGATTATATCTCTAATTTCAATGACGATCTGTGTTTATATCTCTATATAACTCAAACCCCAAGTTTATTGTCTTAATGGTCAGATATCATATTTCACTTTTCAGTTCTTCATACAATATCTCAAACATATAAATAATGGCCATTCATTCACAAGAATCAGATCTAAGACAACAAATTGATATGCTGAAAATCAATCACACATTCATTCAATAATCAATCAAGAAATCCCAATTGAATCCATCCAAACCCTAGACAAGAGAACTAATTCCACATACTACTAATAAAGATCATGTCTAAATCATGAATAATAAATAAAATAGAAAAACAAAAACTAGGTTTTCAAATTCCAAGAAGAAGGATGAAAAATTGGTCATGTTCTTCTCTCTTACGGTTTTTTTTTTCTTAATGTCTTTCATTTTTTTGTTTAATTTCATTAACATCAGTTGCATTTCAAATGGTTGGGCATAGGTTCTCGGAGAACTGCAAAAAAGTTTCCATTTCACCAAACATGGAATAATTCTGATCTTATTACAGAACTGTCATGTCGTACGGGCAACTCTAGTTTTGTCGTACGGGGAGAATGAGCAAATATGGTATATATAGACTATATGCTATAATCCGGGAGGATTTTCAAGTTCTTTTTTGTTATTGATTCTTGTTTTTGTCAGAAAAACTTTGGGTCAATTTTGTTGAGGCAGACCTCAAAGTTTTGATCTTTCTCGTTTCTATTTGCCCTTTTTTAAGTGGCAAACTCAGTTTGTACTTGAGCACTTTAGCTACTATATATATATATATATATATATATTGATATTCATACTAACGGAGCCTATGCCCAGATGAACCAAAACACCAGAAACAGTTCATATACATTACAGTAAAAAAACTGAAAAATTTATCCTATAATCTCAGCTTTTGCACAACCGTTTGTCATCGAGATATATTCAGCAATAAAGATCAACATAAGGAAAAGGGTAATGCAGCGATTAGCAATTTCAAGGAACTCAACAAAACAGATTCGAAGTAATCTGGAAAAAAAAATTTACGAGATCAAATGGCTATCGAAGAACAAAATTTTGTACAAAATCTGGAAACCCAAATCGACATTGGAAACCACCAACACCAAATCGACATTCAAAACCCAAATTTCATCAAGCCGTACCAAATCGACATTAAAAAAAAAGTTCAATCGAGCACTTACAAATGCAGAGATTGCGAGCTCCAACCAGATCCGCCGGTCTCAGCCAGCGACGAACGGAGATTTTGGGGACTCCACCGCCGACAATCGCAGGAGATAAACTGAGAGAGGGCGTCCGAGAGAAAGAAGAAAAATAAACGGAGGAAGAGAGCTTTGGCTAAGAGAGCGAGGTTGAGGCTGAGAGAGGCTGAGGGAGGGTGAGGCGAGAGAGCACGAGAGGAGGCTGAGGCGAGAGAGCACGAGCGGAGGGAGGCGCTGAGAGTTTCAGGGAGGGGCTGAGGATGTGTGCACGAGGACGAGGAAGAGATGGGTTATTTTGGGAATAACCAAAATTTCATTAATGGCTAAGTTTGGATTCCCGTACAATCTGAAATCAGAAGCAGCAAGTGAGCTGCTTCTGATTTCAGATGAAAAATAGCTTCTGACTTCTTTAAAAATCTATTTTTATGTGTTTACCAAACACATTTTTGAGCTTTAGCCGGAAAAAAAAGTGCTTTTGGCTTCCCAGAAGCATTACCAAACGAAGCCAAAGTCACATCTTATTTGAATTAAAAACTCGAATCAGCGAACTAAACGGGCCTCAAGGCCTTGTTTATTTCACATATTCGAGTTTTCAATTCAAATTTTATTACAGTTAAAAGTTTTCGTACAAAATCATATTTAACTTTTTTCTGGCACAGTTAAAACTCTCATATAAAGTCACATCTCAACTCGAATCAGCAAATTAAACGAGGCCTAAGACTCATCTTTTTCCCCTTACATCAAACAAACAGATCACCAAGGTTTGGCTTCAGGTGAAATTTTCCCTTTAAGTAAATCCTATATTTACCCTTAAGTTTTCGATTATCCATACAATATCCCTCAGGTTTTAAAACTATTCTAAACGAAGTAAAATATAACTTTAAGAGATCAAAGTGTTATAAATTCTCATCAATATTTAAACATTAAATATTAATAACTAAGAAACTAAATACAGAGGAAAAAAGGGTAAAATTTTCAATAAAGTAATTTTATGTAAGAAAATCATAATTTAACAGAATAGACTAATCTAACTTCACATGTTATCTCGCATATCCATCGTTGATACATAACTTATGGATTTGGACTAGCCAAATAGGTCATGTAATACACTAAATCTTGCTTCACAGTCATCTAAACACGTTGTCTTTTTTTTTTCTTGATTTTATTTTGTATTAAATTTTAAGTTATCAAAACTTTACATTCAATGACTAAAATACTATTTAAATAGTTATTATTGAGGTTATTTTTAGTATTTTAAAAACTTTGACAAGTTAAAAGGTTTTTTTCGCTCTTTTGAAAAAATAGAGGGATAATCTTAGTTTAAAAATATTTGTGATATTTTTTGGATTATAAAAAATATAGAGGTATACTTTGGATTTAACTAAAATTGAAGTGATACTTTTTGATAAATGTTACAATTTTTTTTAGCAATTTTACTCATAAATCTTACTATCCTCTCCTCTCTTTGTAATGGTTTGGGCGGCCGTGAATTTCGAAACGTTAACCTTTTATAGCATTATATCATTAATTTTTAAACTCATCAAATATATACCTTCAGATAATGTTCAATATACTGTTATAATATTTTTATATGGACTTTCATAATCATAATAATTCACTCTGTAAT